ATATATATATATATATGAAGATAGAAAGATAGATACTAATGACAAATGTTATATCAATACATATAATTCTCTAGGTATGAGGAGAGTATGGTGTAATGTGAGATCAATAGAGGGGGAAAATAAATCTGCGCTACATATACGGAGATCGTGTTTTAAGTGTGTAATATCTTGTTCGTTTGTTTTTTTTGTTGTTGCTTTTTTTTTTTTTTTCTTTGACGCAAATTGAAATAGTCTCAGTTTAAATAAATATGGTTTTGATAATTCTCCGGCGTGAAACGAGATAGGGAATCATAGAATCAATATAGTTCAGGGGCGTGACAAAAGTGTGCGTTGACATACCCGTGGGGGGGGGGAGGAGGGGGTTGTGTCGCACTAATTGGTATTCTTTGAAAGTGCATTACTTGAGTGAGTGTATGTTTGTCGAGTAACTTTTATAAGATGGAAAGTTCGCGCATGGCTACGGCCATTATTCGGCAGGCTATAACTTGTGTATGTATAAAGTGTACGCAAATATGTACATGTAAATGAAATAGTTCACCTTCTGTTGTGAACAAAATGGAGCATTTAAAAAACAAACTGTTTGCGGTTTGTTAAAGACAGAAACTATGGCACATATCAAGAGTATCATGAGATGTTACATACATGTGTGGTGTCAAGAGTATCATGAGATGTTACATACATGTGTGGTGTCAAGAGTATCATGAGATGTTACATACTTTTGTGGTGTAAAGAGTATCATGAGATTTACGTTTATTTGTGAAGACATTTTGATAATTTATTATCGTTTAAAAAATAGAACTGAAATAATTTCCTCACAAATGTTTCCCATCTTTGTTTGCAGCCATCTGAACCACGTGTCCTGCGCCACTCATTTCGACTGTACCATTTTCGTCGACCACATCGTTGCTTTGTGTGCAAACAGCTTGTCTACAACCAGGGATCAGCTTGCCAAGGTGAGAACCTCGAAGGGTATTGTGCTTAGGTGTACCATTATTTGACACACGTCTTGCTAAGTAAGGCACATTTCTTGCTAAGTATGGCACACGTCCTTCTAAGTAGGGCACACGTCTTGCTAAGTAGGGCATCCGTCTTTCTGTGTAGGGCACATGTCTCGCTGAGTAGGGCACATATCTTGTTTAGTTGGACACGTGTCTTGTTAAGTAGGGCACTTGTCTTGCTAATTAGGGAACACGTCTGGCTAAGTAAGGCACATGTCTTACTGAGTAGGGCACATGACTCGCTGAGTAAGTGTAATGTCAAGCTCAGTCTTGCTGAATTCGAACAAGAAATTGTTATGAAATGGCTTTTTTTTATCGAAACGTATATTCAATGTAAACATTTAGTTAACATTGAAGTGTCGCATTCTTTATATATATATATATATATATATATATATATATATATATATATATATATACTAAACGATAGAATAGTTTAACTGTATGATCAACCAAAAAAACCATCAAAACCAGTTGTATATTTAAGTAGATTTTGTTACCGTCTGACACAAATCACATCATTTTTTTTACACTAGTAAACAAAAAAAAAATTATAAATTTTAACATTTACTATAAACTGTTATAGTTCTTTACTCCTACTACTTTACATCTCGAAATGAAATCACGTGAATAAGAATATAAAGAATACATGCTATTTTGTAAACCTATAGTATACCTCGTAGAATCTCATCCCTGATGAAAAGCTTAGCGTTGTCAAGTGTTGCTAACTGTAGCTCTTTCTGTCCAACAGTGTGTCGGTACATCTGTCACAGGAAATGTGAGCTTCAGGTAAGAATCTCTGTTGTCCATCTCTGTTGTCCATCTCTGTTGTCCATCTCTGATGTCCATCTCTGTTGACCATCTCTGTTGTCCATCTCTGTTGTCCATCTCTGTTGTCCATCTCTGTTGTCCGTCTCTGTTGTCCATTTCTGTCAGTACATCGTTTAAACATTAAGGAAATAATTCCCATATTATTCTGGTACCTCTAGTTTACTAGTCCATCTATTGTACAAGAAGCTCTATTCTACTGGAACCTCTATTGTACTAGTACCTCTAATACTCTAGTACCTCTATTTCATTAGTACCTCTATTACACTAGTACCTCTATTGCACTAGTACCTCTATTGCACTAGTACCTCTATTGCACTAGTACCTCTATGGTACTAGTAGATCCGACATATATTGTGCTAGTACCTCTTTTGCACTAGTACCTCTATCCAAAGAATGCAAAGTCTTAAGTTTTTCATCCCGTCAGATCCCCCCCCCCCAACACCCCATCCAACTTCCAAACACGACCCAATGTAATCATTACCAAAAAGGTAATCTTCATTCTTAACATTTTTTCTTACATATATATATATTAAAGAAGCCATCTCAGTCTCTCAACGCATCCTTCCAAATACATAGTAGCCACACACTGCCCACCGCTATGACAAAATATCTTTGCTGCTAAAAATACCCTGCGCGCTTTTCACGGAGTTCGAATCTGTTACGAAAATCGAGTTTACTTTATTACAGAAAATAAACAAACTCGTCTAATCTCTAAAGAAAAAAAACAAAAACCAGACAACGCCGCCAAAGCCCCCAAGACGAACAGATTCACAGACGACAACTGTAGTTTATAGTCATGACAACCAAAGGGCTAACTACCCGCTGCTGACTCTTGTCTTGTCGCCCCTGGATATTTCTCAGATAGCGTAACGTCTCACCGTGTTACGTAACGTCTCACCCTGTTACGTAACTTCAGACAACTTTCCGTGGACCTTGTAATTCCTTACTGGGACGCAGGAAGTCCTCCGTGGTATATTCGATCGTGACACTACATATGTGTCTCTCATTGTCTTCATTATCTTATAGACTAAGGCATGCATCTATTACATGTGTGGCTACTTTGATGGGTGTAATTATTTCAGATTTTTTAAGAATAGGAACTAATTTGTCGTTTATTTTAACTCCAAGCTTTTGTTTTAATAAATGAAGCGTTTTCTTTGGATGAACTTCAAATATGTCTTTAAAGAGAGAGAGAGAAAGAGAGAGAGAGAGAGAGAGAGAGAGAGAGAGAAAGAGAGAGACAAGTTCCGCATTATCCAGCCCCTTCCAAAGCCCACAATACAGTATTGTTAAACCACAAAAGCCCACCATATAGTATTGTTAGACCACCAAAGCCCTCCATATGGTATTGTTAGACCACCAAAGCCCACCATACAGTATTGTTAATCCACCAAAGCCCATCCTAAAGCATTTTTAGACCACCAAAGCCCACCATATGGTATTGTTAGACCACAAAAGCCCACCATACATTATTGTTAGACCACCAAAGCCCACCATACAGTATTGTTAGACCACCAAAGCCCACCTTACAGTATTGTTAGATCACCAAAGCCCACCATATGGTTTTGTTAGACCACCAAAGCCCACCATATGGTATTGTTAGATCACCAAAGCCCACCATACAGTATTGTTAGACCACCAAAGCCCACCATACAGTATTGTTAGACCACCAAAGCCCACCATACAGTATTGTTAGACCACCAAAGCCCACCATATGGTATTGTTAGACCACCAAAGCCCACCATACAGTATTGTTAGACCACCAAAGCCCACCATATGGTATTGTTAGACCACCAAAGCCCACCATATGGTATTGTTAGACCACCAAAGCCCACCATATGGTATTGTTAGACCACCAAAGCCCACCATACAGTATTGTTAGACCACCAAAGCCCACCATATGGTATTGTCAGACCACCAAAGCCCACCATATGGTATTGTTAGACCACCAAAGCCCACCATACAGTATTGTTAGACCACCAAAGCCCACCATATGGTATTGTTAGACCACCAAAGCCCACCATACAGTATTGTTAGATAGACCACCAAAGCCCACCATATGGTATTGTTAGACCACCAAAGCCCACCATACAGTATTGTTAGACCACCAAAGCCCACCATATGGTATTGTTAGACCACCAAAGCCCACCATACAGTATTGTTAGACCACCAAAGCCCACCATACGGTATTTTTAGACCACCAAAGCCCACCATACAGTATTGTTAGACCACCAAAGCCCACCATATAGTATTGTTAGACCACCAAAGCCCACCATACAGTATTGTTAGACCACCAAAGCCCACCATACAGTATTGTTAGACCACCAAAGCCCACCATATGGTATTGTTAGACCACCAAAGCCCATCATACAGTATTGTTAGACCACCAAAGCCCACCATATGGTATTGTTAGACCACCAAAGCCCACCATACATTATTGTTAGACCACCAAAGCGCACCATATATTATTGTTAGATCACCAAAGCCCACCATATGGTATTGTTAGACCACCAAAGCCCACCATACAGTATTTTTAGACCACCAAAGCCCACCATATGGTATTGTTAGACCACCAAAGCCCACCATACAGTATTGTTAGACCACCAAAGCCCACCATATGGTATTGTTAGACCACCAAAGCCCACCATACAATATTGTTAGACCACCAAAGCCCACCATATGGTATTGTTAGACCACCAAAGCCCACCATACAGTATTGTTAGACCACCAAAGCCCACCATATGGTATTGTTAGACCACCAAAGCCCACCATACAGTATTGTTAGACCACCAAAGCCCACCATATGGTATTGTTAGACCACCAAAGCCCACCATACAGTATTGTTAGACCACCAAAGCCCACCATATGGTATTGTTAGACCACCAAAGCCCATCATACGGTATTGTTAGACCACCAAAGCCCACCATACGGTATTGTTAGACCACCAAAGCCCACCATATCTATTGTTAGACCACCAAAGCCCACCATACAGTATTGTTAGACCACCAAAGCCCATCACCTAGTTTTATCAGCACCCCAAAGCCCACAATCCAAGGATTGTCAGCCCCCCCCCCTTCAAAGCCAAGCACCCAGTTTTGACCGCCCCCCTACCCTGAGCCCACCACCTACTAGTGTAACCCCACCCCAATCACCTTTATTCACAATGATAACAATGTCAACGTCCATCACGTCCACACAAACAAGCTTTAAATATAAACCGCACCTAACAACCAAGCATCTCATTTAGCGCAGTTATCGGGACATTTTAGTTCGTGAAAACAAGGTCATCATATTTCCTCCATATTGCCCTGGAAAAACCCGGAAAAAAAAACAACTGAATTTTGTGGGCTGGGGCTAGGCTGAAAATTGGATAGAATGTGTTTTTATCGTCAATCAGTCTATGTGCCGAGTTTCAGCTTGGAGGTTGACGGAAATGGGTCAATTAGCCAAAATGTTGCCATAAAAACTTTGTTTACTCGAGAAATCTATACTCCGGCAAGGGGCTCTGGGTATAATAATAATAATTCAGATTGGAAGCAATAACTTCATTTTCCCTCCTGTGTAGACGCCCCTGGCTAAATGTTACGGTCCTGACATCAGACTACCTTGAATTGGACGTTGAAAAATAAAAATACTGTGAAACGTAGAAATAATGAAATATGAAATAGCGCTGTTCCTAGCATGAACTCTATTGTTTAACAGTGGGTGGACCTGCAAATAGCACCCCCTCCTTTTAGGACCCAAGGGCCAAAGTTCTGCGTTATATTCAGGCGCCCCTTGAGAGGAAGCAATGGCTCCTCAGGGCGCTGCGGCTCAAGCATTGACGTCATTCCCGTACATATCTTTGCAAAAGACAAAGAAAGAATAAGACAAATGGAAATAAAAAAAATGAAGGAAGAAAAAGCCCCTTCACATCTTATCACCCACTCAGTTGTCAACAAAGGGACAGAACCCATGCCGCGGCACACGTCTGCTGTCTGACTGGGGCCTGACACAGGTCAGTTGAGGACTTGGACGAAAGGGGTTATCTTATCATGGCCGTACTTGAGCGGCGACGGGAGGTCGCAGTAAATACATCAACTCTTTGAACGCAGTGTTATGTGTAGTGTGTGACTAAAGTAATTATGTGCTGCACACCAGTGGAGTAATTATGTGCGGCACACCAGTGGAGTAATTATGTGCGGCACACCAGTGGAGTAATTATGTGCGGCACACCAGTGGAGTAATTATGTGCGGCACACCAGTGGAATAATTATGTGCGGCACACCAGTGGAGTAATTATGTGCGGCACACCAGTGGAGTAATTATGTGCGGCACACCAGTGGAGTCGTCTCCAGGTGCCCTTTTAAAACTAAATTCTGAGATAAACAAAGGTCCGTAAGTTGCTTGTTAATTGAGTTTTTCTTAATTTTAACTGGTGCACCCTGGTCGCAATCCTGGGACATAAATTTCCTGTCCAGGGTGACTCGTGTAGAAAGTTCTCCAGACGGAGACAAGTCACTGTTGTTAAAAAGTGCGGTGACGGTCTCAATGGCATTTGACACTCTACTGTCTATGTCATGCTGGAGAGGACAGTAGTTGAGAAACGAAGCTAAGCAAAGATAATAATTGTAACTACGTGTCTTTGGGACAGAGTCTTCGACAGTCCATCACTGTCCATTGACAGTCCATTGACAGTCCATCACTGTCCATTGACAGTCCATCACTGTCCATTGACAGTCCATCACTGTCCTTTGACAGTCCATCACTGTCCATTGACAGTCCATCACTGTCCATTGACAGTCCATCACTGTCCATTGACAGTGCAAGTTTAAAGAAGTAACTGGTGTCAGAAAATATAGTGCGATTCAGCGAAATTGTAATGTGAAATGTGACCGTAACAGTTTCAATACCAGTTAAAAAATTGAGAGCTTTTCAAATTAAGCTGTATGGAGGCTTCGATAAGACATGCGACACCAATA